AGCTCTTTTGCAGTAAGATTTTTCTTTACTTTTATTTACCAAATTAAAGTAAAACTGTTGGTCTACGTTTTTTTTTCTCTCTCTCATTTAGTCTTAAGCAAAGCTATCCGAATGCTTTTCAAGATCCATGTTTATATTCAAGCGTTTGTGAAGTTTTATCGAATTCGGTATGCAGAGTGACAGCAAGAAGGTTCATACAGGAATTATTTTTGGATGTTTCATTTTCAAAGGTTAGTCAGTAGAATTTCAATTTTTTTTTTTAAAGTTTTATTTTTAAGGAATGAAAATGTTTCACGGTAGGTTTTCGATGATTCTGCTTATCTTCTTCAACAATACACGCCGACAGCACTGGTTTCAAATCCTAATTCTACAGGAGATACAATAAGCAATAAAAATTCGTCTCTAGCATCAGTTTCGCCGCCATTAGACTCGATCGTTTCAGAAAGGGGAGACGAGGATAAAGAAATAAACATACCAAAGATTTCAATACCAAAATCAAAATGTACAAGTCCAACTAGTTTAACGACGCTTTTTGAAAATGTTCCTTCCACGCAATTTCAAATTATACAAAAAGATTTTGAATCATTAGGAACGATTCAAGATTTTTCTAGTCATAATAAAATTTGTAATTCTAACGAAAAAATTTCCAATGCCTCCTAGTAATTAATTTATAAAAATAAATAAATTAAGGGGGAAAAAAAAAATTGTTTTTTTTTTTTTTTTTTTTTCTATAAATCGTATCATTTTACCACGTGACTTGCATTAAATTATAATTTTTTTTTTCAGGGTTGTAATTATTTATTTCAGAAAAAAAAAATATATATATATATAAATATTTATATGTATAATTTTTTATTAAATGAATGCAGTAATAATTAAATTTTTTTTTTATTTATTTTTATTCCAGTGTAATAAAATGTCAAAATTACATTCAAATTTTATTCGGATTTAATTATTTTTTATTTTTAAATTTAAATACTTAATTGATATCAGCTGTTATATAAAAAAAAAATACTTAAAAACTAAATTTACACAAAAAAGTTTGTTATTTGTACAATAGATGTCAGTGATTACAATGTATTAATTTTTCATTTAAAAAAAAAAAACAAATTTAAAAATATTTTAACAAAACAAAAAAATTATAATTAAATAATTTTTATTGTTAGTATAAAAATATTTTTTAAAATTAAGTTTAATATTAAATTTTTTTTTTCTTTTCAGAATCTTCATAAACATTTGTAGTAATTTCGCGGTAAGTAACTAAATAATTTTTTCTAAACATTTATTTATTCAGGGTTGCCAACTTTAGAGCTTAAGCTTCACTATAACGTGTAATTTCTCCAGGACGGCATTAGCGCAATTTGGTGCTACTGCCTAATTAATCATTTAATATTAGTATTGTTATTTCGGATATTTTTACGTGACATTAATCCAAAATGGATTAAACCGCGTATCTGATTCGGTTAAACATCTTATCTTGTTTATCAAGGATTAAAATTAATATTACAAAAAAAAATTGGTAAAACTTTAGAATTGCTCATAATGTAAATTTGTTAAAAAATAATTTTAAAAGTATATTTTACAAAAAGGAGGAAAAGTGATGAAATAAAAAAAAAAAAAATTAGACAGAGTTTAAAAAAAATAAAAATTCATATTTATTTTTTTTTCTTACAATAAATTAATAATAATAAGAACACCAATGATTATCCTAAGCTTAATTTAATTACATTTTTTATTTAAAAAATCCGTGATTTTATAGTAAATGTAAAATTCAATGTTACAAAACAATAGATTTACCATTGAAAATGTATTTTATTTTCTCCGCCGTAAATTTAGATATATATTTTTTTTAACAAGTATATACTTTTTAAAATTAAAATTATATTTTCCAACATAAATAATTTACATTTAAGCAATTATATAAAACTATAAATAATAACTACATGAGTTTTGTTACCAAACCGGCTGCAATGGATACACCTCCAACTCTAAGCATAAATCGACCGAGTTCTTTTGTTTCCCTATATAATTCAAGGCATATCGGTTTACTCGTTTCTATTTCAACGACAGCATTAGAATTTTTCAATAAGCAACGAGGACGTTTTTTAATTACTTCTCCCGAATTTTTATTTAACTGAGCAATTAATTTAACTACGACTGCTTGTTCTGCCAAAGAGTGACTATGCAACACGACCGGATAACCTGTAAGTATATATACGTTCATTTTAATAATAATTTATCTAACAGATAATTAATAATAAACTAACAAACATAATTTTTTTTCATTTAAAGGTACCTGCGGTGATTGGAGTGCTTATGTTGAAAACGACTATCCGAGCTTCAAATTTCGAAGTCACCGGTACAGGTAAGGATGAATCACTTAATATGTAACCCACACTTATGTGTTGAATGTCGTAATTTGCTAGGGTTAAACTAACACCATCTCCAGCAAAAGCAGTTTGCACGGGAGATTCGTCTATGCTAATACCTATAACGATCAATTATTTGTTTTTAAAAAACCACCGCCCTCTCGATAAATAACCGTTACAATCATTTTATGAACAGACCGTTAACGTATAATTTATGAATATGCTTACTTAATCGGAACGCGCTTAAATACGCATTTTAAAATTTGAAAGTTTTTTTTTTTTAAACTCGATGAAACGGAAAAATTAAAATAAATTTACCTTTAACCAAAGCTAGTTCATTTTGAGGCATGACTAAAACTTTTTCTCCAGCTTGAAGCATTCCCGTTTCCACGTGACCGGCCAC